ATATATATATATATATATATATATAGAATTGGGAAGAGTGAAAGAAGATAAAAAGAAAAGATTGTGGGTTGAAAAAAATTTTGTCACTTTTTTTTTAAATTCTCAGCTTAGAGCTCGATCTTTGTGAAAACAAGAAAAGAAACTGTTCTAATACCAATTATTGGAGCAAACCACTTGTTTATGTGGAAGCGCCTGCTAGGATTGAATTCGATGAACATACAAAGTAAATAGTAAAGAGATTCAACATAGAAGAAGACACCAAGATTGACGTGGTTCGTCTGTAGCCTACATCCACGGGAGAGAGGAACCAATCCACTACCAAGAAGCCACACAGGTGTACAAAACAATGGGGAACCAGAAACCACTCTTCCCCAAACCGAAATACACCCAATCTCACCACAATGAGAAGCCCGAAATCTCTTAAGACAAACCAAGAGTCAAATATCCCAGTATATTGTAGAAAGACAAGGACAACACAAGAGAGATAATAAACATAGAGATCAAAGTCGTACCAGAAGATATGTATTTGGATGCTCCTCGAAGACAACACCACGTAATTTCCCGTATACTATTGATGGCAGTTTATCGGCGACATGGTCCCTAATGGCATGCCTCTTGGGCCCTAAACTTGTGATTAGTGCCTCACTCAAGTAAAAAGGGTGCTAATGGCAGTTGTCTTTTAAGTCTAACTTGGGTTATGCTTAAAATAATACTTGATTAGACTTAGTTTAAGACTTAAATTAAGCTCAAAGTTGAGTCTCAAATCCGATTGATTCTTGTTAAGTCTAATTGACCCAAGAAATGTTGACTTGGGTTAACCTGAGTTAGGTCGGGTTCACAAAAAATTTTCAGTATCAATGACTACTACCAATGAATTAGGATAGAGAGAGTGGAAGACGACCATTTCATTGACTAGTCTCTCAAAATGAAGATCTATCATTTACCTAAACCCTAAATCCACACAAGTATGTATGTATGTATGTATGTATGTATGTGTGTGTGTGTATATTTCTATATATATTTA